CAGGTGGGGAAGGACAGGAGCAGGGCTGAAGAGTACCTGCGTCAGGGCCTGACCTACCTCAAGGACCCTGAGGCCAGTGTGCAAGAGGCGGCCATCAGGTTCATCGGTGAGCCCCAGCCCCCGGGGTCCCTCTTTGGGCAAGCTGGCCCCTGTCCCCTTTCCTGCAGCCACAGCCAGGCACAGCCCTGGGGCTGCCTGAGCCCTGGCTGCCGCGGGCTGGGCCTGGGCCTCCCTCTGCCACCCCTGCCCACACGGCTGGGCTTGGAGGCCACTGGGCTGAGTTCCACCCCCCTGAGCTCCTGGTGCTTCCTGGGCTCATCCCTGCTGAGGGGGAGGAGGGCAGGGCCCCCCGCACTGCTGGGAGCCCGCTGGGGAGCAGGGGCTGACAGAGCTTTGTGCCTAGGGGTGGCCACGCGGCACCTGAGGAACCGAAGCAAAGAGCAACTGGATGAGATCTGCAGCGGTGAGTGGGGAACATGGGCTGGAGGGGACCTCTGGGGGTCTCTGCTGACACAGGGCTTCATCTCATCTCTGTTTCTTTTGCTCACAGCCCATCAGCCCTTGAACACCTGATGTGTCCAAACTTGAAGAAGACAAAGGCCAGCTCCTCCACTGAGGATCTGGTGGAGAACCTCCCACACTTCATTGACATGGTAAGGCTGATGTGGGAGCGTGAACCCTGAGATGGGCACTGGGCAGTGAGAGCTGCCCCTCAGCCCAGCCCTGTCAGCAGCTCTGGCAGCAGGCTCTGCTCCCCTGGACTCTGGTGGCTTCTGGGCCTTGCAGCCCAGTGCAACTTGTCCCTGCTCTGGAATCTGAGCCCAGGGCATCTCCCTCAGCCACTCCCCTTCACTGTGGGCAGGGGGCCGCTGTTTCCAAAGCTCACCTTTCCTCCTTCCTCCCAGGAGAACAGCGACATGCAGGACATCTCCACCTGCCTCTTCAGAGACCACCTGGGCTCAGCGGTGCTGAGGAAGAACAAGCAGTTGGAGACGTCTCTGCCAAGTTGACGTGGTTTGACTGGCCCTGTCCCCCTGGAGCTGGAAAATGGGCACCTGAGGAACCGAAGCACAGAGCAACTGGATGAGATCTGCAGCGGTGAGTGGGGAACATGGGCTGGAGGGGATGTCTGGAGTTTCATCTCGGTTCTGTTTTTTTTCTTACAGCCCTTCAGCCCTTGAAGACAGACAGCAGTGAAGTCGTCTCTTGCCTGGCAGAACAGACCATCCACATCCTGGAGGCTTTAGGACCAACACCATGTTCTCGATTCAGGCCAGAAGCTCTTCTAGCGCCGCCATCCACATCCGTGAGGAACTTCCAACATTCCCAGCCTCCCAGGTGCTGTTCGAGACACCTGAGCTGGTGAGCAGGGTGGTGTCAGGGACAGCCATGTTGGCATCCAGGGCTCTGGGGCTGTGGATAAGGTGGTGGCTTGGCGTGGGCTGGGAGGCAGGTGTTGGGGAGACTACTGCCAAGTGCCTTGATGCCATGTTGGGGCCTGGTGGCTGCCTGGGGAGCTTTCCAAGCGTGGATCTTATCACAAAAAAGATACTCTGTCTTTCCTACAGGCAGGAAAACTGGAATCCTGATGCCTTCCAATCTTCACCAAAAACCACGATTCAAACCACGAGCACTGCTCTTCTGTCGCCACTGAGCCAGTTGTAGGTGGTTGTGATTTAATAAAGCAGCAACAATGGGTTTCCTGGTGTCCTTCAGATGCGCCGCGTCCTGAGCAGACTGCGTCCTGCTTGTCCTGAACTGCTGCCTGCAGGACAACTTCCCCCTCAGCACACCCGCAGCCCCAGGCTTGTTTGGGAAGTTGAGCTCTGGCTGAGGCTTTCCCCAGGAGAAGCCTCATTTGTCTCTCCTCAGGGCAGTCCCCCCAGCACGCAGCCAGGATAGGGCACAGAATGAGTGGCTCCAGCTCTGCCTCCCCAGGGGTGTCCAGGCATCCCACGAGGTTTCTGCTGTTGCTGCATCACCACCTCCCCTCACCAGAATGGATTTGGAAGGGTTTCCAAGCAGAGGGAGCCAGAGGGAGCCAGAGGGAAACCTCAGGGCTCCTAGAGGGACTAGAGGACAAACAGGGAGTCTGGGTCACCGCCGCCATGGCAGAGGATGGGCCTCTGCTGTCCCTCTGTTGCACTGGTAGCATGTTTCCATCTTTTCTGCCCTGGGGGAAAAGAAGTATCCTTTGACTTGGAAGAGCTGATTAGCATCATCTTGTGATGCCCTGGGAGGGGGTTAGTTTTGACATAGTCACCTACACGAAAGTTTTGAGACCTCCCTCAGTGTGCCCTGTGCCGGTGCTGAGCACGTGGAGGGAAACACACAAAGAGTCAGATGGCCCTGCCCAGAACTGACTGCCTGAAATAACTTTTTGCATTTTCACAGCTCCCCTGTGACATCACATGTCCCCTATGATGTCACATCCATCATAAGACATCACATCTCTCCTGTGATGATATATCATCCCTGTGACATCACGTGCTCCCCTGTGACATCACACCTCCCCTTGTGACATCACATCATTGTTGTGACAAGGGGCCTCTATGACATCAGGTCGTCCCCTGTGACATCACATCGTCCATATGACATCACAGCTCCCCTATGACATCACACCCTCCCGTGACATCACATCTTCTCTGTCACATCACAGTTCCCTTGTGACATCACATCCTCCTCTGTGACATCAAAGCCTTCCCGTGACATCACAACCAGTTGTAGGCGGCTGTGATTTAATAAAGCAGCAACAATTGGCCCAAACCCATGGTGTCCTTCAGATGTGCTCCGTCCTGCTTTACCCATTCAACCACAAGAGCTGGACATTTTAGGGACATTAACTGCAACTCGATGCTTTTACCTAAACTATACGTCAGGTACCAAGGTTAATGAAGGAGGAGTTGACATTTTTCCTGGAGATATATACCGAAACACATCAGCTTGGTGCAACGAGACCCTACAACAACGATTTATTTCTGGATCCGATGCAGTTGGTCTCCCAAATGATCTGTTTCTCATTTGTGGACAAAGAGCATGGAAAGGTATTCCGGGAAAGGCTGTAGGAGGTCCTTGTACCTTTGGACAATTAACTTTTTTCCATCCACGCAGAGTAACCTTGCCTAAACTAAGAAGACACAAACACAGCATATGGCAGTTTACTCTGGACTGTAATTCTGATGTAGCGTTTTGGAATAAGGCTGAAAGAATAACTGCTAGTATAATATCTCAGATAGGGACTGCTCATGCTTTGGCTTTAAATAAACTAGGATGTTGGTTAGCTAAAGAAGCTAATGCTACCTCAATTGCTTTGAGTGCATTGCTCACAGATGTAGACTCTGTTAGACATGCAAGTTTACAAAATAGAGCTGCTATTGATTTTTTGTTGTTAGCCCAGGGACATGACTGTCAGTATTTTGAGGGTATGTGCTGCATGAATTTAAGTGATCATTCTGAGTC